CTGATTGGTGTGCCAAGGTACTTTAAAAAAAAAGATAACTTAAAAACGATATGATATCATCACATGTCAAGATAACATTTTTGGTAACAAAATCAATTAAATTTGTTGGTGTATGATCTTAACATCTTCGGATCTTCTTCGGTCGTCTTCGGTAATCTTCAGTAATCTTTGGAGAATGCTCGGAAATGTTCGAAAAATGTTCGGAAATATTCGGAAAATGTTCGGAAACGTTCGTCTGGCCTTCGGAACAATTTTGGAAAATCTTCGGAAATCTTTGGAAAATGGTCCAGAATCTTCCGAAAATCGTCAAAAACGTCGTCATTAGTATTATATAAGGAGGACGTGGTCAACCTAATATCTAACTCGTTCGCTACACTCACTTGTAAGATATAGAGTTGAACAATCGAAAACAAATTCCATATCTACGCGAGCCCATGAATTATTTTCTATTTAGACAAGAAAAAGATTAAACTTCAGTTAACTCTCAATCCTGGGATAGCGTTAACCTGCTCAGTTCTCGACAACCCAGCCCTGATTACGATAAGGTAACCTAGTTTGAGCCCGCGATTCAATCGAAATGAGGGTGTTTGATCGGCGGTTAAAAAACCATGAGCCCGCAATATAGTCACGTAATACTGGTCAGTGGATACCTTGTTTTGACAGGTGTCAATTGACAATAAAATGGATTTCCAATATCAAAGATGTACACTGTTAACTAAGGCCGCATGTTCTATTAGCTAGAGTATGGCTCCCTTGTTGTGCGACGTCGTCGTCGTCGCCGTCGTCAAGCGTACACGCCTACGAGCAATACCGCTAGCCATATTACCATGACAAAAGTGATTCACGGGTTTCTATGAGTATGGGCGCCGCTTGGTAGTCCTTCGGGCCGGCGGAGCTCCGCTATAAACGCATAGACAGTGTGGTCTATTGCTTGAATATTTTAGAATTTGCGCGCCTCTTGTATCATTTTACACGTTGAAGACTGCAGTTAAGGTAGTCGAAAAATATTCTTAGCCAGAGAGGGTTTTAAATAACACAAATATCACTTAAGTTAGTAACAATTAAATATAATTACTTTTTTATAGAGTGTTTTCTTGATTACCTTAATGATTCGATTCAGCGTCCTTTCGGATACGCGCTCCCCTTCAGATGTGTTTGCTTTAGTAAGCGTCCCTATTCTGCTTCAGGGAAAATCAGCCTTACCATGCAGGGCTAGAACGGCTCAAGGTTTTTCAACAAGCCATGAGCAATTCACACGATGTGGATCCTTTCGACGGGATTACCGAATTGGACGTCGAAGATGCCGCAACAGAAAGCTAAGTTTTTATTTACATATCGATGTACTGTAGGTGCCACTGTCAAAGCTATTGGCCTCCAAGTAGATTAAAATTCCCTCACGTTAAGGTGATTCCTCAGAACTAAAAGTTGCCGAACAATTTTTTTGAAACTTCCCTTGAATGTTCTCTACCAAGCACTGTTTTGAAAAATACAATAAAAATGTTAGGTCACCATGCTCGTTAAAGAGATATGATGGACCAATCTTATTCCATTTATGTCTAAGTACGCGAGTTATTTCATCAGTTCACGTTAAACTTTGCGGTAGCTGGAAGCAGAGGTTATTAAAACAATACTTGACAAAAATCTTGATAGGCAGAAAGTCTCGGGTACCTAGAACAATGTAGTATGTAATTTACGGAAAAATCACACAATTCTAAATAGCTGTAAATGACACTGACTCAAAATGTTCCTCCAGTCGTTGTTTTCGAGGTCATAATCTGCATCCTGGAGTAACGATTTTGTGGACTCTTTTAGCGATATCCTTATTTCCTTTCGAACAATTTTTTTATTTTTTTAACTTAAAGAGAATCATTTTCCCACCAGATTTATGTAACAAAAAATGTAGGTCACCATGCTCTTTTGGGAGACAACAAACGTAAATTTCGCTATGGAGCTTAGCTTGAGGGAAATCTCTTACGTTGTGTACGTGCACGCACCCATGCGCGCGCGCTATGACGCCAAAATCGTGCGCAGTAGGGATGCGCAATGCAAAACTGAGGAATCACTTTTATTGAATATTCACTTTACATTTGTTACTGCTACAGTTTCCGTTAAAATTTTGTTTTGAACATTCGGTTGTTTCTCAAAAAAGAAATAAGCGTCCTCCCCCGCGGAACCAAAAGTAAATAAGCACTCCGGGCGCTAAATCGAATCATTACGATATGGCTTTGCTAAAACCAAAATTATTACACCTGGTGATCGCAAAAACGTAATTTTATAATTTTCTCAGGTTAAAAAAACATATTGATTTTTTAATGCAAACAGAATTAGTTTGCTTTAATCGACCTCTCAAGCAGTTTAAGGCCTTGGTCAGGAATGTAAAGTAAATTTTAATTGGCCAACTATATCTCTTGTCATATTTCGTCAAGCTGAAATTTTCTCCTATTATTAAATTCCGCGTCCTGTTTTGCCTTGACAACTTAATTTAATCACGTGACATGTCATGTGATCCCTTTGTTAAAATTTAGTAAATTAATGAATTGGTGGCGAATTTCAATTGCACTGATCTACTTCTCCTGGACGGGATGCTAGTCCATCGCAGGTCACTCCCCGAAATTTGTTAGGTTTCCCCAACAATACGCCGGTGCCCAGTTATACCCCTGGGTGGAAAGAGACACTATTTCTTACCCAAGAACACAACATAGCGTCCCCGGCCAGGGCTCGAACCAGGAACGCTCGAGCCGGGGACGGGCGCACTAACCATGAGGCCACCGCGTCTCCACGGCAATCAATTCCTCAAATAATGGCTATTTTCCGCTTAACGCCACGTGACATGCCACGTGAACTGTCAGAAGTGCCAATTCTACTTTAAAATGTTCAGAACGTAAAATCGTAACTGTGTCCTAAATTTAGTTCCATTGTTAATTGTCTGTAGAAATACAGCTAATAAATTATTTTCACAAGTAAAAGTCTTTGATCCAGGCCTTGAAGTACTTGAGTGGACTGAGGAGTAAACTTACATTTCTTTCAATTTGTTCATCGCTCGGAAGCTTCTACTCTCAATATGCCGAAGACCACATCCTTCCATATTTCTAACAAAATAATCCACGTGTTAAAAAAAAAGATAGTCACGTGCTATAAACATTGAAATCATATGATGAATTTTCTTTTTATAAATTTATGGCAAGGAACAACATCTCCCCACAGAAAGAAAAAAAAGAAAAAGAAATCAAAAAGTTATAAAGAACTTACAAATGAACCATCTTGTGAAATCCAGCAAAGGTGTCTGAAGTTAAATTAGGTCCAATTGGATTTCCTGATATATCTCTGCAGAGGAAATACAGCTCCAGTAAACTTAACTTAAATCTAAGATTCAGTGGTACAATAATGGCAACTAATGCCAACCTTCGTTTGCGCTTCAAGATATTTTAAAATTTAAAAGCTTTTTCACCACAAGCTTTCGACTTTGTGTCAGTGTTGAGACCGAGCGTGGGGAATATGAGAATGTTGGGAGCAGGGAAGGTGCTTTGGTGAGAGTGCTCGCCTCCCACCAATGTGGCCCGGGTTCGATTCCGGCTCGGTGCCATATGTAGCAGTGAGTTGAGTTCGTTCTTGGTTCTAGCCTTGCTCCAAGGTTTTCTCTCCGGACTCTCCGGTTTTCCTCCCTCCATAAAACCAACATCTCCAAACTCCAATTCGTCCAGGATGGAGGACCTGCATGAAAACCAGCTAAGCCTGATGTGACTTCATCTCTAAATATTGCGATTTTATTTGCTTCATTTATTTGTGATTTATGATCGACGTTAACAAACGTTAACCGACATGTTCTTCCCAGTAGGTCGGGAATAATCAATACACCTTCCAAAAGACATAATGCTGTTAGATAGTTTTATTTCTGTTATTATAGCATACTTACAAGAAGGTGATGTCTTTTGACGCTCTAAGAATAATTTTTAAGTCATTCAACGATATTCTGTTGTGTTGCATTTCGCTATGAACAAAGAAAGCAACATTGTGAGTTACCATGTGCGCTATGATTGGTCTATTGTCCTGAATTGGCTGATTTGACTCAGAGCACAAGGTCAAACAATAATAGACCGCAAAAGTCAATTATCCAATAAATACTTCAGCATGCTACTGGCGGGATGCGCTTTTCACAATACCCGACGTTGCATCGAACAACATGAACAGAACTTTCTACGTACTGTCATTTTCTTGTAAACTTATGCGAATTACTCTCTGTATTTAAATTTTTAACGTTACATCATTTTTATCACTATACAGTTTTTATCCGTCGAAGACAGTAGACCGGGTGTCAAAAGTTTATTTTTCTTTCTACCAGAGAACACTATTTCTATATTATCATCAATAGAACTAATACATACTGTGTGTGTTAGAAAATAGCCCAGATTGATTGAAAATCGTGTTTCTATTTAGATTATGAACTCGAGATTTCTATGACGCGTAGAAATAGAGAGCGAATAATCCAATTGTTTTAGTGTATATCTACTAGTCTTTAAACACTTTATCTAAATCTTCTTCACAAACACCTCGATAACGCAAAGAAGCGGTCGTCATTTTGTGCACAAACGCACACTCACTATCTACAACAGAATAGGTAGCAAGTAGCTTAGCCAGTTAGAGAACGGCATTCGTGATTTAACGCTGGTAGATTTACACTTAAACTCGATAGAAACTCAAAACTAAAACAAAGTCAGCCATCCTCGTCTTGTTACCAAGCTGAAATATTATCGGGCAGCGAGATTTGTTCTTGGCAGATACAACAACACATCCAGCGTAGGGGACATGCTATATGAGCTCGGCTGAACTTCCCTCCAAACTAGGAGACAGAAACTTAGACTCTGCATGATGTATAAAATTCATAAAGGCTTGATAGCCATGGACGCACAAGAGTTCATGACTCCACTTCAAAGGAGATCACGGCACGTAAATTCAGATGCGTACAAAATTCCCCGCTCAAAGACGGACTACCACATGTACTC